GGATGGCTTTGCTGCAATGGGAGTCCCAAACTGTGGTGGGGCGATAGACGGAACCCATATCCCTATCTTGGCACCGGAGAACCAAGCCACCGAGTACATAAACCGCAAGGGGTACTTTTCAATGCTGCTGCAAGTCCTGGTGGATCACAAGGGACGTTTCACCAACATCAACGTGGGATGGCCGGGAAAGGTACATGATGCTCGTGTCTTCAGGCACTCTGGTCTGTTTCGAAAGCTGGAGGAAGGGACTTTCTTCCCGGACCAGAAAATAACCGTTGGGGATGTTGAAATGCCTATCATTATCCTTGGGGACCCAGCCTACCCCTTAATGCCATGGCTCATGAAGCCGTACACAGGCAGCCTGGACAGTAGTCAGGACCTGTTCAACTATAGGCTGAGCAAGTGCCGAATGGTGGTGGAATGTGCATTTGGACGTTTAAAAGTGCGCTGGGGCAGCTTACTGACTCGGATAGACCTCAGCGAAACCAATATCCCCATTGTTATTGCTGCTTGCTGTGCGCTCCACAATATCTGTGAGAGTAAGGGGGAGACATTTATGGCGGGGTGGGAGGTTGAGGCAAATCGCCTGGCCGCTGATTACGCGCAGCCAGACACCAGGGCGGTTAAAAGAGTACAGCACGGCGCGGTGCGCATCAGAGAAGCTTTGAAAACCAGTTTTGTGACTGGCCAGGCTATGGTGTGAAACTTCTGTTTGTTTCTCCTTGATGAACCCTCCGCGCCCCCCCCCCCCCCCCCCGGTTCACTCTACTTCCTTGTAAACTAACCACCCTCCCCTCCCCCCTTCGAGCACCGCTTGCAGAGGCAATAAGGTCATTGTTACTTCTCATTCATGCATTCTTTATTAATTCATCACACAACTAGGGGGATAATTGCCAAGGTAGCCCCGGATGGGTGGGGGAGGAGGGAAGGAAAAGGACACACTGCAGTTTAAAACTTTAACTCTTATTGAAGGCCAACCTTCCGATGCTCGGGCAATCATCTGGGGTGGAGTGACTGGGTGGCCGGAGGCGCCCCCCCCCACCGTGTTCTTGGGCGTCTGGGTGAGGAGGCAATGGGACTTGGGGAGGAGGGCTGTTGGTTACACAGAGGCTGTAGCGGCGGTCTCTGCTCCTGCTGCCTTTCCTGCAGCTCAACCATATGCTGGAGCATATTAGTTTGATGCTCCAGCAGCCGGAGCATCGACTCTTGCCTTCTGTCTGCAAGCTGACGCCACCTATCATCTTCAGCCCGCCACTTGCTCTGTTCAGCCCGCGATTCATCCCGCCACCTCTCCTCTTGTTCATATTGTGCTTTTTTGCACTCTGACATTGACTGCCTCCACGCATTCTGCTGTGCTCTTTCAGCGTGGTAGGACATCTGGAGCTCCGTGAACATATCATCCCGAGTCCGCCGTTTTCTCCTTCTAATCTTCGCTAGCCTCTGCGAAGGAGAAACATTTGCAGCTGGTGGAGGAGAAGGGAGAGGTGGTTAAAAAAGACACATTTTAGAGAACAATGGGTACACCCTTTCATGTTAAATTTTGCTGTTCACATTACAGAGCACATGTGCTTTCATTACTAGGTCGCATTTTTCCTCTTATATTGAGGGCCTGTCGGTTTGGTGTGAGAGATCACTCAGGCAGTGCCAGGCAACAGAATTCGGCTTGCAGGCAGCCATGGTAAGCCACAGTCTTTTGGCTTTTTTAACCTTCATAACATGTGGGAATGGTTTCAAACAGTAGCGCCCTCATTTCCCATACCAAGGACCCATTGGGTTGGCCATTTAAAATGGGTTTGCAATGTAAAAGGAGGGGCTGGGGTTTCCAGGTTAACATGCAGCACAAACCCAACTACCCCTCCTCCCCCACAGCCAATTCTCTGGGATGATCACTTCACCCCTCCCCCCCCACTGCGTGGCTAACAGCGGGGAACATTTCTGTTCAGCCGAGCAGGAACGGGCACCTCTGAATGTCCCCTTAATAAAATCACCCCATTTCAACCAGGTGACCGTGAATGATATGACTCTCCTGAGGATAACAAAGGGAGATAAGGAATGGATGTTGTCTGCATGCCAGCAAACACCGGGACCATACGCTGCCATGCTTTGTTATGCAATGATTCCAGACTACGTGCTACTGGCCTGGCGTGGTAAAGTGTCCTACCATGGCGGATGAGATAAGGCAGCCCTCCCCAGAAATCTTTTGCAAAGGCTTTGGGAGTACATGAAGGAGAGCTTTCTGGCGATGTCCCTGGAGGATTTTCGCTCCATCCCCATACATGTTAACAGACTTTTCCAGTAGCTGTACTGGCCGCGATTGCCAGGGCAAATTAATCATTAAACACGCTTGCTTTTAAAACGTGTAATATTTACAAAGGTACACTCACCAGAGGTCCCTTGTGTGCCCTCAGGGTCTGGGAGCACGCCTTGGGTGAGTTCGGGGGTTACTGGTTCCAGGTCCAGGGTGATAAACGTATCCTGGCTGTTGGGGAAACTGGTTTCTCTGCTTCCTTGCTGTGAGCTATCTTCATTGTCTTCGTCATCATCATCATCTTCCGCGTACCCCGAACTCGCTTCCCTGTTGCGTGTTTCTCCATTGATGGAGTCAAAGCACACGGTTGGGGTAGTGGTGGCTGCACCCCCTAGAATGGCATGCAGCTCCGCGTAGAAGCGGCATGTTTGCGGCTCTGCCCCAGACCTTCCGTTTGCCTCTCTGGCTTTGTGGTAGGCTTGCCTTAGCTCTTTAATTTTCACGCGGCACTGCTGTGCATCCCTGTTATGGCCTCTGTCCTTCATGGCCTTTGAGACTTTTTCTAATATTTTGCCATTTCGTTTACTGCTACGGAGTTCAGCTAGCACTGATTCGTCTCCCCATATGGCGAGCAGATCCCGTACCTCCCGTTCGGTCCATGCTGGAGCTCTTTTGCGATCCTGGGACTCCATCATGGTTACCTGTGCTGATGAGCTCTGCGTGGTCACCTGTGCTCTCCACGCTGGGCAAACAAGAAATGAAATTCAAAAGTTCGCGGGGCTTTTCCTGTCTACCTGGTCAGTGCATCTGAGTTGAGAGTGCTGTCCAGAGCGGTCACAATGAAGCACTGTGGGATAGCTCCCGGAGGCCAATAATGTCGAATTCCGTCCACACTACCCCAAATCCGACCCGCAAAGGCCGATTTTAGCGCTAATCCCCTTGTCGGAGGTGGAGTAAAGAAACCGGTTTAAAGGGCCCTTTAAGTCGAAAGAAAGGGCTTCGTCGTGTGGACGTGTCCAGGCTTAATTCGATTTAACGCTGCTAAAGTTGACCTAAACTCGTAGTGTAGACCAGGCCTCAGGAAGGCAATGTTGTTTTAGTTACACTCCTTTTGTTACTCATTTTGCTTACACAACATTTTCAAGGGTTGCTTTGCCAAAAAAAGCATTGCATTCTGCAGAATCTAAAAATACCACGTGGGTCACAAAAATATACAAAATGTGTTGGTGACTGACACCTTTGCTATAGATACTGTCTGACTGTTGACGGAAGAGAGACATAGAGACGACTTCACTGATGCCACTTTTTGCAGCTGGCAATAGAGTCACTTTACAGACACCTTCTGAAGAGGCAGAATTTGATGGCCTTAAGGGGAACAAATAATTTTGCAGTGACTAAATATGAACCTGCAGGCTTTGATCTGCTAAGTATGTTTAAATACACAGTTTACTTTAGCTTAAAATGTCTTTAATATAAATAGAAAATGTATAGGTTGCATGTTGCTACTAAAAATATTCCCATTTACTGCTGATGGCTATACGTGTCCGCTTTAGTAGCTGTAGAGTTGCCTTGTTAGGAGGTAACTTGGAAATAATACTCAAGCCAGTGGTTCCCAGTCTGTGGTTCCTCCATGGGTTATACAGGGTCTGACCCTTGAGCCAGGGCCAGAACACACCAGATGGCATTTTGGCACTTTTGCCGGATGGGGGATGTCATTTTTCTCTCAAAATGGCATCCTCCATACACTGTGTGTGAGAGATCACGCTGCCAGGGACATTCCCACTGGGAGCCGGGCAGCCTTGTCAATTTAACGGCTTAGGGAGCTGTGAAATTGACAAGGCTGCCTGGTTCCCAGCGGAGACCGTGCGGTGGAGGTGGGGTGGAGGGACCACCAGGGCTCCTCACCCTGGCTTCCAGCTGGGAGCGGGGTCCTGCTGCCCGGGTTTCTTGCCCCAGCTACTAGCCGGGAGGAGGGTCCAGCTGCTCAGCTCTCCAGAAGAGTGGGGTGCAGCTGGGCTTGGATTCCCAACTTACTTGTCAATTTCAGGGCAGGAGCCTGCCGTGAAATTGACAAGACAGGATGTAAGTAACACCGTGTCTATGCAGACACTGCGTTGCCCTACCTACACGGACATAAGCCTTATGCCTCTCGTGGAGGTGGAGATATTATGTTGATATAGGAGGGCACTTAGGGCTTGTCTACATTACCCGCTGGATCGACGGGCAGCGATTGATCCAGCGGGGGTCGATTTATCGCGTCTAGTCTAGACGCGATAAATCGACTGCCGAGTGCTCTCCTGTCGACTCCGGTACTCCACCAGGGCAGGAGGCGCAGGTGGAGTTGACGAGAGAGCGTCAGCCGTCGACTTACCGCAGTGAAGACACCGCGGTAAGTAGATCTAAGTACGTCGACTTCAGCTACGTGAATAACGTAGCTGAAGTTGCGTAATTTAGATCGATTCCCCCCTCCTCCCCAGTGTAGACCAGGCCGTACATCAACTAGAGGAAGGCTGTAGTGTAGACACTGACATAATTAGGTTGACGTAAGCTTCCTTACATGAACCTAACTGTGTAGTGTAGACCTGCCCTGAATGTACAGTATATATACTTGCACAGTATATGCTCTGCCACCCTAGATTCTGAATGCCCTCTGTTTATTCACAGGTCAGGTGTAGTACAGATCACTGAAGTGATTATATGTCCATGTACTTCATGAGATCTAAGGAAACTACTCTTCAGAATGAAAAGTGTTTCAGTTTACATGCTTCTTCAGTTACATATCTATAAGCAGACAATGCAAACTAGGGTAAGTGTTATCAAAACTCGCGGGCTTTGATGTAGAAAACATTTACTTCGTATATTTTGTCAGTTCTCTTAACTAGTAACAGCCAAATAAAATGTTAAGAATCTGTTCACTCTTGTGCTTGCTATCTTTTCTTTATGTTAAATATTCATTTCCATTCTAACCTATCAGAAGACTTAAGAAAATAAGGGCTGAGGCTGTGATATTGGAATGCAGTTCCTTTTCAATCACGTTTCCTGATGTTAATTTAATATTTCAACACTTGAAGAAATTTACTTAATTTACTGGAATCTGTAGTGCGGTCTGGCTGCCCAATTAGGATTAGCACTATGTTCTCTGATTTTTAGGATATCAATTACATTACATTCTCCCTACTGTCTGGAAGCAGTTCATTTGATTGTATGATGCATACTGTAAACTAGATAGCTGAAGTGCCCAAATATTTAGAAATTAAAATTTAAAATTCTAACATATTTAATATTTAAAATTTAAAATTCTATTTAAAATTATTATTCTATTTATAATTCTAAACTAGAATTTGAGTGAATTTCTACTTTGCTGTCCATGCTGACTACATATATTAACACTTACGTTTGCTTTTTTTATAGCTTGTTCTTCCTGATTGGATTTTTCCAGTTCTCTTGGATGTTTAACTATAGCTATGGCAACAAGAGTAGAGATCAACTCTGCTCTAGCATCCTTAACAACAATACCTGACTTAAATGAAATTACAAGTGAGGATAAAACACAACGCACATACATCAACCCTCTTTTGGATGCAAGTAATAAGGCTGGTCAACCTTCTAATCCTTCGGCACCAATAATTCTTGAAGAAAAAAACAAATTTGGGAGCACTTGGAGACCAGCCACTATGCCTACTCCTGGATCAAGGCCAAGGCTTTCTCCAAAGCCATTTTCTAAGGAGAAACCTTCAGATACTTTTGCGAATGTGAAACCTCCTGTTACTGCTTTCAAACCAAGTAATTTTGTCCCCAAGTTCTCTGTGTATGGACAGCCTACTGAAGAAATGACATCTGCTAAGGTGTTAAGTGGAGATGTCCCTCTATTAGTAGATCAAAAACTAATTGAAAATGAAAGTAAAGGCAACAATGAATTAGTCACAAATGTGGCCTTTTATTCCAGTCCCAGTAGAAATACTGTGATTCTTTTTGAAACAGTTAGCACTGAGAAATCCAAGGTAAATTTAACACAAGGTAAAATATCTGTTGATGAGCACAGAACGCTTGGCACTATACAGACAAAAGAGTGGCAAAGTAATGCAAAGCCTGAGATGATATCTCCGCCATCAGTGACTTCCAGAAAACCTGAAGGAGGTCTGCATAGGCAAATATCTTTTTCATCAGACCCCAGACCAGTCCCCTGGAATCCTCACCAGTCTGATGAAAAAAAAGACACATGTGAAGATCCTATAGGTGAGAGAACCAGCGATGTTGCAAAATATGCCAACAGCGAAGTTGGCTTATTAACTGAAGTGCAACGAAAGCTAAAACATAGACCAGTATCTGCTGCTTTTCTGGAATCGTTAAAAGATCAAAAGCGTAGCAATTTGGAAGTCTCAGAAGAAAAATCTCCTACAGAGAAATCATGGGTTAGAAAACCAAGGCCTTTGTCCATGGATCTAACTGCCAAATTTGAAAATAAAGACCTTTCTCTGTGCAAGAAAACTTGTCCATCTGATGAGATTAAGGAGAATGTACCAGTAATTCACTTCACTGATATAGGCTGTCAAGAACAGTCTGAAATGAGGTCTAAAGCTGAAGAAATAGAATTGAATAAAGGTGATCCCTCTAAATCAAATTTGAAATGTAACAATCAGGACATTGACTTTCTTGATGTTAAAAACAAATCTAGTGAGCAAAATCAGAAAGTCTTTCCAAAAGATTTAGACTCATCCAGCCCAAATTATACAAAAGACTTGATACAGATCTCTGCAAAAGATAAAAAATATCCTTGGGAAACTAAACAGAAATCTAAAGATGAACAAAATGAGAAAAAAATGGACATTGTAACTAACTTACATGGATCAGAAAAAAACAAGGAGATGGCTAATAACAAAAGCAAAACAATTGAAGAGGTGGAAATATTGGATCAAAAGGAAACTTCCAGAGTTTTAGCCAGTGAAAATTCTGCAGATTCCTCAAAAAAAGAAAACAAGACCTTGAGGGGGAGCGTTAAAAAACACATCTGTTTGTTTGCTGGCTCAGAAAGCAGCACTACTCCAATGGATACCGAGCCTCTCCCGGCAGCCACTGAGAGGGAAAACAGAAATGTGAACATCCAACAGAGAATCAGAGAACTGACAACAGAAAATACAGATGTTAAGCCTGGAAATCTACGCAGATCACTTAAGTCGCGACCACTTTCTGCAGACTTAACAAAGAAGTAAGTTACAGAAGAGACATTTTCAAGTTTTCAATTAGTACAAATAAAAAAAGTCAGATATCACAGTTCCTCGCTTGTAATTTTCAAACATAATTTTTCTTAGAATTCTGCTTAATCCGTTGCTCATAATTTATCTTGACAGTGGCTGCAAAAATACACTGTCAGTAATATTAATTCTTGCATGCTACCTTAGCAGTCTCTCACTACTGCTTGTTTTATTTACATGTTTTGAAATCCAGGTATGAATAATATAGCTCACACTGTCATGTATTTCCAAAGATTCAAAATATAACCCGAGTTTTCATTTGTTTAATGTTCCATTGTGTTAGTCTTACTATTTGCTTTATTTTATTTTCAAAATACTTCTAAATAATTTTTTGCATTTGGCACAAATTAGGGTAGACCTTTATCAGTGTCACCTCAGTGACACTATATACTGTCAGGCTTTGCGCCAGATTGGAATTTTATTTCACCTTCATATCAAGGTCCACAGATCCATGATTCTGCATCCTTTTTCTGGAGGAAGCAGGAAAGCAGATGAGAGCTGTTACTTGCAGGGCAGGGCTTAAGTGCCTTCCAACTGATGTTTTGCCTGTTTAGAGCAGGCAGACACTGCAGAGATCTGTGGTATAGAATACTATTTGAAATAATAAAAATAATAATAATAATCGTAAAGGAAACAGGGCTTTTGAGTTTTAGAAGTACATAGCGATCCCAGTTTGGCACAGACTTTATTTTGATGAATCCGTGTGCCTTTCTTCTTACTGATGAGGCCTACTTCTTTGGTCCATGCCTCTTTACATCATGTCAGGCAGTCCACTAAGAAGTGGAAGTTAAAACTCTATAGATCTTGCTTTGCTCTCCTAAATAGAGTGCTTGTAATATTATTAAGAGAGAATATCTTACTTGCTTTATATGCTCAAATTTTCAAGTGGTACAGTTTAACAAAAAGAAATCTGAAGTACATATTCCAATGTGAAATTCGCTTTCCAGCATAAAGTTGGATTTTTGATGATGATTATTGATTTGTTTTTATGTGGGGAAGTGCACTAGGGTTGGGGATGGTGTGGCGAAGTCAACACACCTGAACCCAAGGCCAAAATCACAAAACAATACCGATCGAATGGTCCAGATTCTGTACAAGACAAAAAAAAGTGTTTCAAATTGTCTGAGAAAAGGGCAATATTAGGCACAAATACTTGATGTAATCAGTGCAGCATAAACTAGGGTAATAGAGGAAATCTTCCCAGAGGCTATTCACTATGAAAATGTGAACACTGGAGATTGTATAATTTTTCAGAAGAATTTGGTCTTCAAATACTGCAATGATGAGTGTGGGATAAGAGCCTGAACCAAACAGAATTTAACGTAACAGTAAAGTTTATGCAAGAGACAGTGGGAACTTCAACCCATTTTTCAGTAGTCTGCTAACTAAATTATGTCCTAAATTCTAGATCATTTTTTCCCAAGATAGAAAATAAACTATATCTAGCTTGTTAACTGTAGAGAAGGTTTGGGCTTTGTTTGCCAATAGTTCAGGCATACATAAACCATTGAATCAAGATAAGATTTGTGCTGTGAAATAATGTGATTTCTCCAATAGCATGTATAAGAAATTAATTGGAGCATTTTAAAATTATATGAAAAGAAATATGTCAAATATTGTGCATTAGAAAAACATGCATATTGGGCAACTAACTAAAGTTGTTTAATGTCATCCATACTTAAAAGAAATAACAAATTTTTGCAACAGGTTTTCAAGCCCAGCATCAGCCAATGAAATTAAACCTGAGAAACCTACTGAATTGAATAGTGATGTTACTAGTGAAACACAAGAAAATCAAAAGGTAAGGAAGTGGCACTAACAGACTTGGTCTTCCAAACAGAATTGTATTTATAATTTATTTTGCACTATGCTGTGTCACATATGGCTATAGAAAGCAACGAGTTAGAAACTGACATTGTGAGTATTCAGAATAGCATAATCTTAATAGGCTTATTTTGGTAATTCCTTCTTTAGGCCGCCCTGGTAATGTACAGAAATCATGTACATGTTTGGTTAATATATATGTGTGCAAAACTATAGACCACGACAATAGCCTTACACCTATTAACTTCTTATGAAACTTCTGAAGTATCCTATATTAATTCAAGCTTTTATAATATCTCATTATATTAAACATGCTTTGCATTTTCTACCAACTCCTCCTGTAACATTTAATTCTAATGGTCTATGACAACATAGTGCTACATAAAGAATCTGGAGTGTCTTATGCTGGCCACTTTTAAAAATTGATGAATATATACAATAACTTAGTTTCTAAGCATAATACTTAAGTTGTGCAAAATATAACTTTTCTGCTTAAAACTATAAAATCGTTGTGTATATGAAGATTTAATATTGTTATTTTAGGCATATTTTTCCCGAGTCCCTTTGTGTTTGGGCATGGATCTTTTTTCTTCTTCTCTTATTCGGACCTGGTTACAGCACAGTACTACTTTAAAGAAAAACGCCAATTTGATATAAGAGTCTAATGAGTTAATTTTGAAGAAGAGTAATTGAACAATGAACAAAAAATCCAAACTTTACTTTTTTATAACTCTCTTGGTTAATGGGGAGCTACTCTCTTCACAAGTTGACCTAAAGTAGGACCGAATAAATTTGCTTTGTCAATTAGAAAACTCAGGAAATCAGAAAGTTTAAAAGATTTATAAATAAGTTCCACAGTATAAATTTTTTTAGCTCATTGAACTAAAACTTTTTTTAAAAGGTTAACTGAAAATTTTAGAACTAATTTTTTTCAATGCTTTCATAGGGCAGAAAGACTTACTCTATCATCATGTACTTCCACAGTGAAAATTACTAAAATGTAGCCTTTATTGCTACAATAGATACAATCACTGAATGTAGATACTGGAAGTGTCAGATCTCCCTAAAATTGTTTTGAAAATACACATGTGCACCCCCAAATCTGTTTAAGTAACTTAGTTTTTCTTTAACACTATTCCTCTTCTAACAGTGGCTCAAGTTGTGAAATGTGCTCAGAATTGCTTGCCCCCCACAGCCTGTAGCAGCTGTTCTTCATTATTTTCTCAAACTGCAATGCCTGATTATTTAATTTTTTATTCATAGCCGTTAGTAAAGTGCTCTTTGCCATAGTATCTGTCTCTCTCAAACAAGAATGAATTAATCCTTGCCATACCTTGATGAGAGAATTATTATTTCCCATTTTAAAAAGAAAAATTAAGGCACAGAAAGGTTGTGTGATTTGACCATGGTTACACAGGAAGTCAGTGGCAGACCCGAGGATGGAAGCCAGATCTCCTGAGTCCTATCCCTGTGGCTCAGGCAGACCATCTTTCTTTCTCCTTATTTCTTTCTACTAGCAACTTCTGACTATCATTCATGAGCCTTCCATCCCTTAATGGTTTATACCCAAGATTCCTGAGGTCTCTTGCATGGCAGTATGGAGTACTAATCATTTATTCATTTAGCTAGCCAGTAATACCATATCTTTTGGGAAAAGCTGGCTTTTACAAAATATGGTATAAATATTTATATTCTACTGTATTTTGAGTGGCAGTGCCTTTTCTGGAGTATAACTTGGCTTCAAGTAATCACAGCAGATTAAAATATACCATGAAAGTCTGAATCCAGGAATTCTTCATGCATTTAATTTTAATTTGTTATATTAAAAACAATCAAATGGTAAGAGATTCTGATGTAAAGAGGGCTTATCCTGGGGTTTGCAAGTTTACCTTACACCAATATTTGAATCTGTTTGTTAGTTTGCTTAGGGAATAGTGTGTGTGTGTATAATACATACTAGATACATAAATACAGACTAGGTAGTACGATGTTGCAATTCATCTTTTTTTTTTAAATCAACTTCTAACTGTTGAATTTTTTTGTTTAAGAGTAAGGAGATGAAGCCTCCTCCTGGAACAGACTGTACTGAGACCTGTGCTATTGGGAATCAGTGGAAACCACGACAGACAGTAAAAATATCAGAAAAAGCTGGTCAGATCGAAAGAAAAGGAAGCTTTCTGAGAGAGAGGCAAAATTTCTCTTTGCAGGGTGAAAACTCTGTGTCAGCCACAAATAACGTTGAAAAAAAATTAAAACCCACCACTCCTGCAGAAAAGACCCATTTAAAAACTGTCCGAGCCACCATGTTTGACCACAATGTCCAGAGGCATAATGTTGCTGCTGGTCACCCTGTAATTGATCCTACACGAAAGCTGACTAATGAATTTGAAGGCAAATATGATGTTGTGACTTTACTAGGCTATAGCAGAAGATCTGGGATGGAAAAAGAATTACAGGAGAAAACTAGTTCAAAGAGAGAGTATCACAGTCAGTCTGATGTATCAGGATATGTAGCAGATGCAGAAAAACGTGGAAAAACAATTTATGTAAATGAAGACAAGAAAATTGCTCATGCAGTTCCAGTGGAAAAATATTCTTCATGTGAGAAATGTGAAAAACCCACTCCTAAGCATGTAGAGGACTCTCTAATTTACCAACGAATAGAGCCAAGATATGAAATCCTGCAGACTTTTGGTGAAAGAGCACTTAGTGAAGCTATTACAGTAGTTCCCGAAGATAAGGCTGTGACACTCAGAACTAGAAAATCTTCTGTGAAAGAGAAGAGAAAACCTGATGGGAATGTCTTACATGCTGATCAGCTGTGTGGGCTAGATAATAAAACTGACCCATTGAAAGAAGGTAGTTTTATTTCAGAAACTAAAGACATGTTGGAAACGTCTACAAAAAAGTTTACTTTTAGGGAACCTAAAGATATCTTCAACAGCAAATGTACTTTCCATGAGCAGATAACAGAGTACAATAAAAATCAGAGCAAACTGGTATTTATAACGGAGAAATCCTCTTATGCTACAAACAAAAGTAAGGATTTGGGGATAGCAAATGAAAAAATGACACAACTGCATCCTGAAATGCAAAAAGAAAAGAATGAAATCTCTTGCACAGATAAAACAGAGAGCTCGAACGTGACCAAAGACTTTTCTGAGAGAGCTGGTATAAAACCAGTTAGGACAGATGGCTATGAATCCAGAGGTGACTTGGGTCAAGATGTTATTTCAACCAGTGCCAATAAACCTGGGAGTCAGATTTCAGTGCCTGGATATAGCCAATTGTATAAACCCTCCGTGGACCAACATCCTAGCACAGAAGTAATAACTGCCGATAAAGAGAAATCCAGAGTTTTTGGATTAAGGAAATATCCAGACTCAAATTGTGTAAGAAAAGATTTAGGCTTAGATGTTGCAGCCCTTGAAAATGAAAGAGACAAACTCAGATTAGTAGAACCAGAAGAAAAAGTCAGAAGAACCAGTAGTAGTGTTTCTGACCTTAAAATTTCAGAAAGATGGCGAAGGAAGACCTTGCCTCAGGACTCTAGCAAGCTAGAAGAAGTTAGCCCACTAACTCAAGAAAGTATTAAAAGGCTGAACAGAACAGATTCATTGCAATTTGATGAAGGTGCAATAAAGAAAAAAAGTAAAAGAAGCAAAGATGGGATAGAATCAAAGGAGGTGAACCAAACAGTTTCAGTCAGTCCTGATGATTATTTGAAGAAGCAGGTTTCTCCCTTTGAACCAAAGGCAACCTATTTTGCAGTTACGTATCAGATTCCTGATAAAAAAGAAAAAAGCTCTGTAAGTACTGTTAATGCAAATGAAAATAACCAAATTACTACAGCGGTTGAAAGTGCACCAATTAATCTGAACTCTGGTTCTTCCAGAAGGTCCAATTCTACATCTCAGCAATCCTATAAAAATGTACCGAGTACACATTGTAAAGATAAGTCCCTAGAGGAATGTGTTAACAAGCATTGGGTTAAAGAGGAAGAACAAGATATTCTAAGTTTAAAAAAAATATATCCAGTGCTTGGAGAGGATGATAATAGGAGGTCTTGTGAGAGAGGGCTGGATCATGTTAAAGAGAAAATTATAGATGTTGATGCTTTCCTCTTAAAACAGGGCCTGAAAAATACTATTCAAACTGATCTTAAAGGTAGTGGAGGAAAAGTCTCCGCATATCATGAGCCAAAATCCACGCTACACTTCAGGCATTTTCGCAAAGACAGTGAACTACTTACACAAAAGAAGTTTGGGGAAAACAGTCATGATGTGTTCAGAGTAAAGACTGAAGACAGGTATAGATCTAGAGTTCTTGATATTGATGCTCTTATGGCAGAATATAAAGAGGAATACATAAAGGCCAGTGACATTCCAGAAAAAAAAGATGACCAGTTCTCTGAAGATCAGAGTATGTTTTATTGGGAGAAGTCAAAGTACAAAAAGAATGTGGCTGATAAAATTCCACACAGCTATAACTGGAAAGATTGGAAGAACTTGGATCAATCTGCTAGTATCACTAAACAAGGTACCTGTGCAGAAGAACACTGCAGGCCTGAGAACCTAACTCTACATGAAAACAGCAAAGAGAAACTGGAGTCCTGTAGCCAAGAATGGAGTAAGCAAAAGTCCAAAGACAGAAATTTCAGTCCTCCGCATTGGGGAAAGCCTAGTTCACTTTCAGATAAACTTATAAATTCACCTGCTGACACTATTGGTACCAGAAAAAAAACTTTTATTATTGATGAGGATCAAGGGAACAATTTAACATCTAGGCTCCAAAATGCAAAGTACACATATAACAAGGTACAGCCTGCAAATCCTATTAGTGTGGACCAAAAACTGGAAGTCAGTTTAGCTTCTAATTCCTCCCCCGATGGTGGTGGTAGCGGCGGCGCCTTATTACAGAAGAAATTGTTCACAAAACAGCAGTTCACAGAGATGTCTGTGGATGATGACTGGCACAAAAATATAATGAGGAGCTCTGTAAATAAGAACAAAGAGAATGCAAACAAAACCTCACATGAGAGTGACTTTTCGAATATGAAGAGCAAAGCGGAGTGGAATGACTATACATCTGGTTTTGGAAATGCACTGCCAGATTTAAAACGATCGTACTCAGAAAAGAGCCGTCCTGCTAAAGCAAGAGGCAGCATGCCTCTGATGCAAGAAACAAAGGAAAGAAGGGACCAGCACCAATTCAGGCAAAGCTTCCCATTGGAAAGTGAAGAAAACAGACTGAAAAAGAGGAGTGCATATCAACAAGAATCTTTCTCCCAGGAAAATAAAAAGGTATTTACAAGGCAGTATTTGTTAGAGCACCTCTTATAACTGTGAAAGTGATGAAGATATTTTGTCATGATTGCTTTCAATCTTGCTGCTTCTGTGTTAGAGCCAGATGCTTAGCTGGCGTAAATCAGCTCTGCTCCGTAGATATTGGTGCCAGCGTAAGTGATGCCAGGTGAGGATTTGGCTTTTTGAATATTCTTTTTCTCTTTAATTTCAAAAATCATATATTACTCCTTACAGGGAATATCTCCTTTAAGAGCCAATACTGTAGTAGATCTGTAGTATTCTTTAAAAAGTGGCAAATTACTTACGGACAATATTAAACTACAGCTTTCTTTTGATGTAGAAGTATTGTTTATAAATTGAATTCTTAATGCTGTAGGCACTATTTGTTAAATCGTTCTAGTCACAGCTTCATAAGTCAATAAATGTAACGTTTTGAATTGGCATCTCAACTGGGCTGGGGTTTTTGCTTCAGTGAAGGGGAAAACTTTTTTTATAGATGAGTTGGTACTTTCCCTCCCCCAATCTCCTTTCCAGCTACCACTTTTGTGGTCTATTGTTCTCGAAGTGCTGGCAGAGGGAAACCTACTAAGGGTTCTCCTGACAAAAAGGAATTAATGTGCATCACATGCCCATGCAGGGGTGCTGGAATTAGGTGTGCTGGGAGTGCAGCAGCACCTGCTGGCTTGAAATGGTTTACATCATATATGGGGTTTACAGTTTTGTTCAATGGCTCTCAGCATCCCCACTATAAAAATTGTTCCAATGTCACTGTGCCCATGTCAATGTTGCATAGAATAAAGCTTTTCTGCTTCAGTTAGCCTTCCTTGTTTTGTCTGCTTTGTGAACCAACTTTGAGCTTTCTCTGTAGTTCTCATATTTGAAGTAAACAAACATTTTAAGTGGTATTTTTATGTACTCCTTAGAAACAGGACTCTGAAAAAGAATGGACCAAGCAGAATTCTGACAGATCAGGTGGGAAAGACTTGACTGTAGTTCCTATCCAGAGAAGAAGCCATAGTTTTTATAAGGACCGAAGAGCACATAACTGGACGGTAGGCTATTATTTCTTTGCATATTCCACTCATAATCAGTTGTCTTTTTTTGTGACATTGAAATACCAACTACTCAATATATCAGGACTTCACAGCAGTAGGAGCAAATACACTTGTAACTTCCTGTGCAAAATTTTACATCAGGGTAACGTTATTTTTCCCATGGGGTATCTTACTGCTTTCACATTTGTGTTAAATCATGCAATATATGTAAACTGCATAATGAATTCCTTTCTAGATTTTAAAGGGACACTTTGCAACTTTTACACCAATTTCTCATAAAACCTTGGATTATTTAAAAGTAAATGGATTTTTAAAAAATTTTCACCAGTTACTCTTTGTCTCTGTTTGCCTTTTATTTCTCAGCATGGACAATGAAAATCAGTTAAGTAACTTTCACTTTTATTTGTAGTCCATTTTAATTTCACATTTTCAGTGGTACAGTATTGGTTTTTAAACACTACAGTGGTGTTTTTGTTCAAAACTGTTTTGTTGAAATTTTAAAAACAAAAGTTTTGGAAACATTTCTGTTCTTAGGATTTTAAAACCTGTTTTTACAAAATTAAATTTTGGGTCAGGTTGAAGTTGAGTGTCCATTTAAAATAAAATGTTATTTGATGCACATAATGCTATCAATATAAAATTATTATAAAGTACATGTAATGTAACATAAAGTATTCATGTTCGTTTGTCAACCAACTCAAGAGCATGTTTTTAAGGACTACAATGATGGGAGGAGTTTGAAGTAAGAAAGAAAATGAAAAATTAGAATACAGCAAGAAGAAAGTACACAATGTAAAAATCCAGATGTCTGCTAAATTTCTATTTCTATTGCTTCATAAATTATTTTTTTTACCAGTAAGTGACTCCTGCATTATTTTTAACATCATACAACAACTAATCCTCTAAATAGCACTGACAACATTTTTTTTTTACAAACCTGCTTTTTCCAGAAGTTTGACACTTGACTATCTTTTTAAATTATAACTGGCTAAAAAAAGTTGAGATGTTCTGCCTAAGGATATCATTGTGCAGTGTTTTGTTTGGCAAATGGACAGTGTGGATTCCTATGTGGTCAGATACATCTTGCACCTATTTTCCTTTCTTGAATCATTTTCTGCTACCCTGTTGTGGGGACTTATCTACCTGCAGAACTAAGTAAAATGCCAGTTGACATGCAAAAATGAGAAATTTTGTCTTGCTAAGCTGATCAAAATAGTTTTTAATTTTGAAACTCCCCTACATGTACTTACTCTGAACTTTGCTTTTTAATCATACCAGATGTTTAGAATTGTCCTTCATAGTTTCTTATTGTATATTAAGAATATGTTCTTTTACATTTTTCCCTCCCTGTTTCTTCATAAATTTAATAAAAAATGTCATGGAAGTTAAAAATACCCATGTTTAATAACTGGAACAAAAATAGATTGATTTTTAAAATGAGACACTTTTTTGAAAGCTGGATTAAGAAAATTAGAAATGATATACATATGGATACATGGTACTCAGATTCTCCATGTAGCTAGTATTTGATGTTCTTATCATTCCCGTTAAGCTTCCCAATGTACACCAGGCCACCCACTACCTCTTAGTACAACAAATGCAGGATCCATCAAGAAGACTGTAAATCCATCTGATTCCACCATTTTAGGGAACTTAACCCTCTAACTATTCTTGGTCCCTATTATATTCTCCAAGATCATCATGCAGCCCTTAATCCTTTTTTGTATGCAGTGTTGAAACCTATTTTTATAAAATTTAAGATCTGTTCAATTTTTCCTTTGACTTTAGAAGTCCCTGTAGCTTCTAGTTTAGTTTCCACCTGATCAAAATGGAATTCCAGGTTATTTACATATTGGGGAAATTCACCCCATGCAGGTGGCCAGCACAAGGCCATATACTGTTCAAATCCTATTTAAGGCAATACCAAGATCTGATAACTTCAGTATCTCAGCCAGAGGTATAGCCTATTGCAGAAGTGGGTGGGTGAGATTCTGTGGCCTGCAGTGTGCAGGAAGTCAGACTAGATAACCATAATGGTCCCTTCTGGCCTTAAAGTCTGTGAGTCCAAGTTTTCTATAGGCCTTGTGCTGGCCCTTTGCAGAGAGTTGATACCAGATTATAAAATTTTAAGCATAGGGTTGCAGTTGTGCTGTGAACTTTACCAAAATGTCAGTTTCAGAGAACAGTTCCTGAAAAAACTTGGTGTGTCCTTGTCCCATTGCTCAATCAATGTTGTGTGTTTCTCCTAATGAAGATGGTTGTCCTTACACCTTTGTGCTTGACATTTTTGTTAATCTTTGTCTTAATTAAGCTGATACACCTTTTTCCTTGTTTTTAATGTGGTATTCTTGTCATGATAAGATCTATTTTAAGGGTGAAATTTTTCCTTCTCCCCCCACCAAGCCAAAGTTAACAAGCTGTTTGTCAAGATCTAAGTGTAAGTTTTGGGGGTGAATCTCCTCCTCATCTCTCCAGCTCCCAACACCACCACTTTAGGGGCAGGCAACAGGCTAAAGCACTTCTCTGTGCACACGATGTTGAAGGTAATCAGCTACTGAATTCAGATAACTGTGGATCCAGCATCCTTCCTTTGCTCATAAATTCAGTGCTGCTTTCTGTAGCCTCCGTGCAGCTGGCACAGAAGCAACTTCTGTGGTATGTAGGAATAGCAGAGACTTGTGTTGGGATTGTTCAAGTATCTGATATCTTCTGAAATGTCTGGCTTTATGTGAGTCTCTCCAGGAGTGAGGTTTTTTACTATTCGGCTCCACCCGGAGAAGTGGTTTTAAGGTCACTTTGCTGCATTACATTCTTCCCAAGTGAGTAAAAGCAGCCTTTTGATACCAAGATTGCTCTTTAAATTAAGATTATAGACGGTATAATAAAATGTAATTACTTAGTTTATGAACTGTGACCTTGTCTACATTTCTCTTTCATTGCAGTTAAAGAGGGGAAATTTTTTGGTTAGACACATTTTGCAATTTCAGATGTCTTGGATTTTTTGTGAATGAAAATCTTAGATTTTCAACCAGTTTACTTTTCTTGAACCACATGCTATTTCTTTTTCTTCTAAGAATGTGCTTTCACTCTGAGAAATGACTCAGTAAACATGGTATAATGAGTTCATGTTTGTTCTCAATTCTGTATTAAATGTGATTAGTTCACAAACTGATTTGTAATCACCAGCCCTGCAAACTCAACGTGTGATCTGAAAATGAAGCAGAGTTATTCCTACTTGTGCTTAATTGCCTATTAGTAAAGATTGTGCAGGCCAAATTCCACCCTAAATGATACCTGCAAAATCCCAATGTCCTCAGTAGGCTTGCACAAGTGTAACCAATCAGAACTTAGTAAAGAATTCTGATACACAACAAGCAAAAGTCTACACAGTCTCTTATCTGTCTTGGGTCTTCAGGGCTAACAGAAGTACAAACTGATTTTGGTATTGAAGTAAGGTATAACTCAACTCTCCAGAAGCTGATCTGTTGAGTAGAGGTTCTTTTTACATTTCAGAGCAGAACTCTGCTTTAAATAATCGTATTCAGAGAATTGTAAGGACAGACCACCACCACTTCTAAAATAGGGGCTGAAAATGTTTGGTTTAATTTTTTTTTTTTTTTTTTGCGTAAATCATCTAGATTACTAGTTGTGTCAGGAGTCACAACTGACTTAAGAATGCTTCTCCACAGTCTTACAGGGCCAAATTGGAAGTTCCTCTCTCAAGTAACCTCCCATTTAAAGTCAGTAGGAGTTTGTCTGCTGGGCTGGTAAGGACTTCTGGGGGCCAAATCCTGTATCTGGAAATAGCATCTTAGGGTATGTTTACACTGCAGACAGACACCTTTGGGGGGTCCATGCCAGCTGATTGGGGCTCACGCTAAGAGGCTGTTTAACTGTGGTGTAGATGTTTGGACTCAGGCTGAAGCCCAGGCTCTTGGACTCTACGAGGTAGGAGGGTCCCAGAGCTCTGGCTGAAGACTGAGCCCGAACGTCTACACCACAATTAAACAGTCCTTAAGCCTGAACCGGCTGGCACAGGTCAGCTGTGGGTTTTTAATTGCAGTGTAGGTATACCCATAAGGATCCTGATTACATCATGAGGAAGGAGAAAGGTACACTTGTTCACATCCATCAGGATGGTACTTTACTTATTCAAGTATCAGGGGGTGGCCGCGTTAGTCTGTATCCACAAAAACAACAAGGAGTCCGGTGCCACCTTAAAGCCTAACAGATTTATTTGGGCATAAGCTTTCATGGGTAAAAACCTCACTTCTTCAGATGCATCCTGTTGCTGTTGTAAAAGGCAAGCATCACTACGAACACATTGCTGGTTTGAGATACTAAATTACTTATTCAGTATCTCAAACCAACAATGTGTTCGTAGTGATGCTTGCCTTTTACAAAACAAACACAAAAGCCCTTGGAATCTTTTCCCCATAAATTTCAAGTGTTCCACTATATTCTGCTAAGAAAGGATTGGAAAAGTTTATAAATAACAAAGAACCCCTTGCTTGCTTTTTTAAAAATGGTAATTGAATACAACACTGGGGCTTGAAAAATAGTCTTAATTATTGAACTTTTATAGTGTCCCCTTACTGTGAAAACATTTTGTTGAGTAACTGCAAATGATTTATTGAAAAATGTAAATAGCTTTTAATTCATTAAGGCAATAGACACGTGCCTTTTTGAGAAAAAGCCTATCTCATGACCCTCTTTCATAATCTCATGTTTGCATACCTACACTTTGAGGTAAAGATGTGGGGAGATCCAGGCTTTCAAAGTTATACGTACACAGGTAAAACATGAACAAAAGCTGCTATCATTTGATACTGTGAACCATATCTGTCATCAGAAGATTAGAGCCCAGTATTCATTGGTCCTGTTTGTATAATACCCCCCCATGTGGTGACTAAATGCATCACATCCATTCTAAGATCCTAGTTTCTTTGTGTAATTATTGGCAATGCAGTGCATAGCTATGGATCACAGAGATCTGT